AATTTTCCCTATAAAAACCGAATTCTCCCTATAAAAACCGAATTTTCCCTATAAAAACTGAAATTTTCCCTATAAAAACCGAATTCTCCCTATAAAAACCGAATTTTCCCTATAAAAACCTAATTTTCCCTATAAAAAATCCGAATTTTCCCTATAAAAAATCCGAATTTTCCCTATAAAAACCAAATTTTCCCTATAAAAAAATACGAATTTTCCCTATAAAAACTGAATTTTCCCTATAAAAACCGCTTGTGCCAGGATGGGGGTGTGGGCATAGGGGAAAACCTCTGCTGAGGCTGATTTATTTTTTCACCCCCAGGGCTCTGTTCTCTCCTTGTGCCTGGCTGGGTACAACTGGATGGCAAAATAAACATTTTTTCATTTTAAATTTGGCCGGACACATTTTCATTTATAACAAAAACCTCTCCTGAGGCTGATTAATTATTGCACACCCCGGGCTCGGCTCTGTCCTTTCCTGGGGGCTGGCTAGGTAGAATCTGACCGCAGATAAACTGATTTTTATTTTGAATAAACTCATTTATAACGCCCCGGAAGTCCGGGCTCGTCTCTATGGTCCGGGAGCGCCGCGCGGAAGTGACGCAGGGCCCGCGCGGGCGCCGCCGGAAGTGACGTCAGCGCGCAGCGGCTGAGGCGGGAGCGGCGCTCGGAGCGGCCCGAGGGGACGGTGAGGGGGGGAGGGACCGGGAGGGGACAGAGGGGACACGGAGGGGACAAAGGGGACACGGAGGGCACCGGGAGGGGCGGAAAGGGCCGGGAGGGGAGGAAGGGGAGGGGCGAGTCTGAGGGGAGGGAGGGCCGGGGGCGGCCCCTCAGTGTCGCCCCGGTGTCCCCTTAGTGTCACCTCAGTGTCCCCTCATTTTCTCCTCAGTGCCACCTCAGTGTCCCCTCATTTTCTCCTCAGTGCCACCTCAGTGTCCCCTCAGTGCCATCTCCGTGCTCCCTCAGTGCCAACTCACTGCCCCCTTAGTGCCACCTCAGTGTCCCCTCACTGTCCCCTCAGTGCCACCTCAGTGTCCCCTCAGTGCCATCTCAGTGTCACCTTAGTGCCACCTCAGTGTCCCCTCAGTGCCATCTCATTGTCTCCTTAGTGCCACCTTAGTGTCCCCTCACTGTCCCCTCACTGCCCCCTTAGTGCCACCTCAGTGTNTCAGTGTCCCCTCAGTGCCATCTCATTGTCTCCTTAGTGCCACCTTAGTGTCCCCTCACTGTCCCCTCACTGCCCCCTTAGTGCCACCTCAGTGTCTCCTCATTGTCCCCTCACTGTCCCCTCAGTGTCCCCTTAGTGCCACCTCACTGTCCCCTCAATGCCGTCTCATTGTCCCCTCACTGTCCCCTCAGTGTCCCCTCATTGCCCCCCATTGTCCCCTCACTGTCCCCTCAGTCTCCCCTTAATGCCACCTCAGTGTCCCCTCACTGTCCCCTCAATGTCCCCTCAATGTCCCCAAAGTGTGCCGTCATTGTCCCCTCAGTGTTCTCTCATTGTCCCCTCATTGCCCCTTAGTGCCACCTCAGTGTCCCCTCAGTGTCCCCCCACTGTCCCCTCATTGTCCCCTCACTGTCCCCACAGTGTCCCCTGTGTTCCCTCAGTGTCCCCTCAGTGTCCCCTTAGTGCCACCTCATTGTCCCCTCACTGTCCCCTCATTGTCCCCTCACTGTCCCCACAGTGTCCCCTGTGTCCCCTCATTGTCCCCTCACTGTCCCCTCAGCATCCCCTCAGTGTCCCCTGAGCTGTCCCCGTGTCCCCTTGATGTCCCCTGAGCTGTCGCCATGTCCCCTCCATGTCCCCTGTCCAGTCCCCGTGTCCCCTCTGTGTCCCCTTTGTGTCCCCTGTCAGTCCCCGTGTCCCCTCAATGTCCTCTGAGTGTCCCCTGGGTGTCCCCTGAGCGTCTCTGGTGTCCCCAAGTCCCCTCAATGTCCCCTGAGTGTCTCCGGTGTCCCCTGAGTGTCCCTTCCATGTCCCCCGAGCTTTCCTCGTGTCTCCTGTCCAGTCCCTGTGTCCCCTGAGCTGTCCCTGTGTCCCTTCAGTGTCCCTGAGTGTCCCCTCCATGTCCCAGTGTCCCCATGTCCCCTGAGTGTCCCCGTGTCCCCTGAGCGTCCCCATGTCCTGGTGTCCCCATGTCCCAGTGTCCCCATGTCCTGGTGTCCGCTCCATGTCCCCTGAGTGTCCCCGTGTCCCCTGAGCTGTCCCCTGAGTGTCCCCATGTCCTGGTGTCCCCATGTCCCCTGAGTGTCCCCATGTCCCCTGAGCATCCCCGTGTCCTGGTGTCCCCATGTCCCCTGAGTGTCCCCGTGTCCCCTGAGCATCCCCATGTCCTGGTGTCCCCATGTCCCCTGAGTGTCCCTGTGTCCCCTGAGCTGTCCCCTGAGTGTCCCCATGTCCCAGTGTCCCCTCCATGTCCCCTGAGCTGTCCCCATGTCCCTGAGTGTCCCCATGTCCTGGTGTCCCGTCCATGTCCCCTGAGTGTCCCATGTCCCCAGGCGCCATGTCCTCAACGTCACAGAAGCACCGGGACTTTGTGGCATGCCCGGTGTCCCCATGTCCCCTGAGTGTCCCCTGAGTGTCCCGTGTCCCCTCGATGTCCCCTGAGTGTCCCATGTCCCAGTGTCCCCTCGATGTCCCCTGAGTGTCCCCTGAGTGTCCCCGTGTCCCCTCCGTGTCCCCTGAGTGTCCCGTGTCCCCAGGCGCCATGTCCTCGACGTCACAGAAGCACCGGGACTTCGTGGCGGAGCCGATGGGGGAGAAGCCGGTGGGGAGCCTGGCCGGCATCGGGGACGTGCTGGGCAGGAAGCTGGAGGAGAAGGGCTTCGACAAGGTGGGCTGGGACCCTGGGGACACTGGGGACACTGGGGGACACCTGGGGACACTGAGGGACATCGAGGACAGCAGGGGACACCTGGGGATATCAGGGGACACCTGGGGGAGGATTGAAGACATCTGGGACAGTGAGGGACATTGGGGACAGTGAGGGACACTGGGAACACTTTGGGACTCCTGGGGACACCTGGAGACACTGAAGGACACCTGGGGACACTTTGGGACACCTGGAGACACTTTGGGACACCTGGGGACACTTTGAGACATTGAGGACAGCAGGGGACACCTGGGGATATCAGGGGACACCTGGGGGGGATTGGAGACACCTGGGACAGTGAGGGACACCTGGGGACATTGGGGACACCTGGGGACACTGAGGGACACCTGGGGACATCGAGGACAGCAGGGGACACTTGAGGATACCTTGGGACACCTGGGGACACTTTGGGATCTTTGGGGACAGCACAGGACACCTGGGGGGAATTGGAAACACCTGGGACAGTGAGGGACACCTGGGGACATTGGGGACAGCAGGGACACCTGGGGATACCAGGGAGCACCTGGGGGGGATTGGAGACATCTGGGACAGTGGGGGACATTGGGGACAGCAGGGGACACCTGGAGACACTTCAGGACACCTGGGGACACTTTGGGACACCTGGGGACACCTGGAGACACTTCAGGACACCTGGGGACACTTTGGGACACCTGGGGACACTGTGGGACACCTGGGGACATTGGGGACACTTTGGGACACTGAGGGACATTGGGGACAGCAGGGAACGGGTTTGGACAAGTGGGGACACTGAGGAAGGGCTCGGGGACATTTGGGGACAGCCTTGGGGACAATCGAGGGTGATGTGGGGACAAGGGGAGGTGGCATGGGGGGACACGGAGTGAGGGGGGTGTGGGGACAACAGGGATGGTGTCGCTGTCACCAGGGCGGTTTGGGGACACAGGGAGGGTGACGGTGACCCTTGGCAGTGTCCCCACGCCCTGGTGACACCGCTGTCCCCTGGCTGTCCCCTCATTGTCCCCCCATTGTCCCCTCGGGTGCTGGGACAGCTCTGGGGTCTCTGGTGGCCACAGGTTTGGGGTGGCACCGGAGCTCTTTGGGGTCACTCAGGCGGGACAGAGGGACCTTGGGTGATGTCCCCACAGCCTTGACAATGTCCCCACCCCCTTGGCAGTGTCCCCACACCCTGGTGACACTGCTGTCCCTTCCCTGTCCCCCCATTGTCCCCTCACTGTCCCCCCAGCCATTCCTGGCGCTGGGGCAGCTCTGGGGTCTCTGGTGGCCACAGGGTTGGGGTGGCACCGGAGCTCTTTGGGGTCACTCAGGCGGGACAGAGGGACCTTGGGTGATGTCCCCACGCCCTTGGCAGTGTCCCCACACCCTGGTGACACCTCTGTCCCCTGGCTGTCCCCTTGCTGTGTCCCCCAGCCATTCCTGGTGCTGGGACAGCCCCATAAGGACCAGGGTCTGCAGGTTTGGGGTGGCACCGGAGCTCTTTGGGGTCACTCAGGCGGGACAGGGTGACCCTGGGTGATGTCCCCACGCCCTGGTGACACCACTGTCCCCTCATTGTCCCCCCATTGTCCCCCCAGCCATTCCTGGCGCTGGGGCAGCTCTGGGGTCTCTGGTGGCCACAGGGCTGGGGTGTCACGGGAGCTCTTTGGGGTCACTCAGGCGGGACAGGGTGACCCTGGGTGATGTCCCCACGCCCTGGTGACACCACTGTCCCCTCATTGTCCCCTCATTGTCCCCTCCTTGTCCCCTCGCTGTCCCCCTGGCAGGCGTACGTGGTGCTGGGGCAGTTCCTGGTGCTGCGCAAGGACGAGGAGCTGTTCCGGGAGTGGCTGAAGGAGACGTGCGGGGCCAACGCCAAACAGAGCCGCGACTGCTCGGGCTGCCTGCGCGAGTGGTGCGACGCCTTCCTCTGAGCCCCCTCCCCAAAAAACGGCACCCCAAAACCCCCAACCCCTCCCTGCACCCCGAAACCCCAGCCCCCGAGCCCCCCAGCCCGTCCCCGCGCCCCCAAAAATCCCCCAAAGTCCCGGCGAGCTCCGGGTGCCGGGCGCTCCTTGGAGGGGCTGGGGGCTCCCCAAAAGCATCCCGGGGGACCCCCAGGGCTCCTCCAGGGACCCCAAACCAGCTGTGGGGAGCCCAAAACTCACCCAGGGACCCCAAAACTCACCCAGGGACCCCAAAAGTGGCTGTGGGGAGCCCAAAACCACCTCTGGGGATTCCAAAAGCAGGTGTGGGGAGCCCAAAATTCACCCAGGGACCCCAAAAACACCCCTGGGGATCCCAAAATTCACCCAGGGACCCCAAAACCACCTCTGGGGATCCCAAAATTCACCCAGGGACCCCAAAACCCACCCAGGGACCCCAAAAGTGGCTGTGGGGAGCCCAAAACCACCTCTGGGGACCCCAACCCTCCTCCGGGGATCCCAAAACCCCCTCTGGGGATCCCAAAATTCCCCCCAGGGACCCCAAAACCACCTCTGGGGATTCCAAAAGCAGGTGTGGGGAGCCCAAAATTCACCCAGGGACCCCAAAAACACCCCTGGGGATCCCAAAATTCACCCAGGGACCCCAAAACCACCTCTGGGGATCCCAAAATTCACCCAGGGACCCCAAAACCACCTCTGGGGATCCCAAAATTCACCCAGGGACCCCAAAACCACCTCTGGGGATCCCAAAAGCAGCTCTGGGGACCCCAAACCACCTCTGGGGATCCCAAAACCACCTCTGGGGATCCCAAAATTCACCCCAGGGACCCCAAAACCACCTCTGGGGATCCCAAAATTCACCCCAGGGACCCCAAAACCACCCCAGGGACCCCAAAATTTCCCCAATCTTCCCCAACCCCCCCCCACACACACCTACGGGACCCCCAAACCGGTGCTGCCACCCCCAAATCCCATCCCGGCCTGGGGGTCCCCCGGCGCCCCCATCACCCCAAAAGTGCCCACCTCCCCCTCCCCCCACCCCCGGGTGGGATTTTGGGGTGCCGCTCATTTGGGGTGCCCCTCCCCCCCGCCATGAGTGTTATTTTGGGGTGCCCCCACCCCCCCCCTGCATTTTGGGGGGGTCTGTGTTGTTTTGGGGGTGCCCCACCCCCGAGTTTGTTTCTAAACTGATTTTCTAAACAATAAAAGTTTTGCTGTGCTGGAGCTGCACGGGATTTGTGGGGGCTGGGGCAGAATTTTGGGGGCTGGGGCAGAATTTTGGGGTTTTGGGAAGGATTTTGGGGTTTTGGGGCAGAATTTTGGGGTGTTTGGGGCAGAATTTTGGGGCTGGGGAAGGATTTGGGGGTGTTGGGGGAAGGATTTGGGGGTTGGTGGATGAATTTTGGGGTTGGGGACAGAATTTTGGGGTTTTGGGGCAGAATTTTGGGAGTTGGGGGCAGAGTTTTGGGGGTTCGGGACGAATTTTGGGGTTGGGGCAGAATTTTGGGGTTGGGGCAGAATTTTGGGGTTTTGGGGCAGAATTTTGGGTTTGGGGACAGAATTTTGGGGTTGGGTCAGAATTTTGGGGCTGGGGGAAGGATTTTGGGGTTTTGGGGCAGAATTTTGGGATTTGGAGGAGAATTTTGGGGTTGGGGGCAGAATTTTGGGGGGGTTGGGGCAGAATTTTTGGGTTGGGGCAGAATTTTGGGTTTTTTGGACAGAATTTCGGGGGTTTTAGACAGAATTTCGGGGTTTTGGACAGAATTTCGGTTTTTTTAACAGAATTTCATTTTTTTAACAGAATTTCGTTTTTTTTTAACAGAATTTCGGGGTTTTTGGACAGAATTTCGGGTTTTTAACAGAATTTCGGTTTTTTTTAACAGAATTTCGGGGTTTTTTGGACAGAATTTCGGGTTTTTTTAACAGAATTTCGGTTTTTTTAACAGAATTTCGGGTTTTTTGGACAGAAATCCGGTTTTTTTTAACAGAATTCCGGTTTTTTTAACACAATTCCGGTTTTTTTAACACAATTCCGGTGTTTAACACAATTCCGGTCTGGGGCGGAGTGTCGGTGCCCCGGCGCAGCCGAGCGCGCTCCCGGAGCCCGGGGCCGTTCCCGTTCCCGTTCCCGGTCCCGCTCCCGCTCCCGTTCCCGTTCCCGTTCCCGGTCCCGGTCCCGGTCCCGGTCCCGCTCCCGTTCCCGCTCCCGTTCCCGTTCCCGTTCCCGCTCCCGTTCCCGTTCCCGTTCCCGTTCCCGTTCCCGGTCCCGGTCCCGCTCCCGGTCCCGTTCCCGGTCCCGCTCCCGGTCCCGTTCCCGTTCCCGGTCCCGTTCCCGGTCCCGTTCCCGTTCCCGTTCCCGTTCCCGTTCCCGTTCCCGTTCCCGTTCCCGGTCCCGTTCCCGGTCCCGTTCCCGTTCCCGTTCCCGTTCCCGGTCCCGTTCCCGTTCCCGGTCCCGGTCCCGCTCCCGTTCCCGGTCCCGTTCCCGTTCCCGGTCCCGTTCCCGGTCCCGCCCCGCCATGGCCGCCGCCCGCAGCCCGAACGCGCTGTTCGCGCGCTGGATCCGCGAGTGGCGCCGCGAGGCGCGGAGCGCCCGGGCCCGCGCCGCCTACGGCAGGGTGCGCCGCGAGCGGGGGGCCGGGGGTTGGGGGGCCGGGGGGGTTTTGGGGGGTCCTGGGATGGATTTAGAGGTGCCCAGGGGGGCGGTTTTGGGTTCCCGGGTGTGTTTTGGGGTGCCCGGGTGGGCGATTTTGGGGTCCCGGGTGTGTTTTGGGGTGCCCAGGGGGGCGATTTTAGGGTCCCAAGTGTGTTTTGGGGTGCCCGGGTGGGTGATTTTGGGGTCCCGGGTGTGTTTTGGGGTGCT